ATTTTAACAGTAGCTGTATGTAAACTTCTTCCAATTTTATTTATTCCAACATTTCAAAAATTTTTATTTTTACTTTCCACGAATATAAAAATGTACAAATAAACTAAATGAAACTAGTAAAAAAGTTGAGAATTCATACTAGCGATGAAATAAATCTTTGGTTGTATAAGAGATATTTTATTAACATTAAACATTACTTGTCTTAAAGGTAGTATCTACGCAAATAGAATCAAATTCTATTATATCTTTTCTGTTCCTCGTCCTGGATAATATTGTGAATATCTTTGTTTCTGAAGTATTGGTGAAGTAGTTGGTGTAGTTGTCGTCGTCGTCGTTGACAAAGGTTTTACGGATGATCGTTGCAATATAACTTGTTGATATTCATATTTCAATTGTGGCATATCTTGACAGTTTTGTGGTATGTAGGAAAATAGTTTTTGTATAAATGAATTTTGAATTTGTAATTTTTTATCATATTTTATTTCCGATAGTTTATATTGTTTTATTTGATCGTAAAGATATTTTAATAAATCTTCATATTCAAGTTCAATTTCTTGTGATAAACGTTGTGTTTGTTCACAAGTAAGAATTTTTTGTTGTAAATCTTGAATTGTTTGTGGACATTGTGAAATTTGAAAACGAAAATCTTGAACTAATGATGTGGATGTCGAATTATTCGAGCTAGAGTAGAATGGTTGTAAAAGATTGATGTTCTCGTTCAAAATTACACTCGCTTGACGTTCAAAATCTCGTAATGAAATACGATCATCTAACATCATTAATGAGGAAAAATGAGATAATAAATCTTTTTCTTGATGACGATCTTAAAAAAAAATGTAAAACTATGTAACCAATTTATTGAATTGTAAATTAATTATTTTTTCTTACCAATATCATATGATTTCTTTAGTAAATCAATCAAATCATTTATTTTAAAGCTTGAATTTAACAGAAAATTCAGTGCATTTTCTGATAAATTAGTTGGTTCGAGTTCTGAATCTTGATCGACAAGATGTTTGCTGTTATGATTCTGTTGATGGTGTCGACGAGTTCCCCGTGGTGTTTGTTGTTCTTCACTAATATGCTTATTTCGGTTATTCCTGTAGTGATGATAGTGGTGCCGTTGCTGTTGTTGATAATAGCGATGATAGGTTTCATCATCAGTTGATTTTTCATCATAAAGTAATTTAAGATACTCAGATTGATTTCCATGTCGAATTAACAAACGAACTTGATTTGTTGCTGCAGCTGAACGTAACAGATCAACAGCATGTTCACGAGTTATACCAACAGATGATTCGTCATTGATTGAAATAATTTGATCACTAACCTAAACACATATAAAAAGATAAACTTTCCTCACTTGTGATCTTTGTTCATATAATTACGGAATAGTGTCAGAATCGTGTAGTATTCCTGCGCCTACATAAGGAAAGAAAATCACTAGCATTTTTTCTTTCAAAACGTATTTACTCCACTGCGACCAAAAACCGTTTTGGCAGAGCAAGCATCACAAGAAACAGAGGAGGAACGTAGCATTCACCATCCTGACTTTGCCGCATATAAAACAATCGAAATTCAGTGACAATATATGAAAGCTACCTGATTTGATAATTATCCCGTGATAACACTTCCAGCAAGCTACTTCAATTTTCTCTTGAAAATGTGAGAGTTCAGTTAGTGAGACACAATGTTGCACAGATCTTTTTCCCCATCTGGTGAGCATGCACTATACAAAATACTTATGATAGTGACCCTCTTACTTTCAATCTTCCATCTCTCTGTGCCAGGCCATCTTCGAGTAATTGTTTAATGAATATTCCGGATTGTTTGATGGGTTTTTTTGCACCAATTATTCTAATTCCTAAACCATTTCGACTATTTGTATAAACAATCAATTCGTCATTTGTCGCAGGCATTCTTTCACAGTCATCTGCCAAAAAGACTGGTAGTAGCACATCAACAACTTATGATTATGAGCAATATATTTTCTTTTAGTATTTTGCATAGCGTTTTAACGCATGTGACTCACCTTGATTATAATTGACAACCAGGTTGGTCCAATCAGAGCCATGATTCGAATCTCTATACGCTTTGTTTAAATAGTTGGAAATTATGTGACCACACAATGCTTTTATTTTACTGTTTTGTTCAATTTTTGGAATTTATAATTCATGATCAAGTACCATTCAGATCAAACTAGTATGATATCTTTTTATCTCATAAAATAGGGGGATGACCTCTGTAGCGGGCGAACATTCTTTTCTTATTACTGGCGGATCCAGCTAGGGAGGCGTATGAGCTGCCGCTTCTATCTTTCAAGCCAAAAAATTCTTTTTCGGCTTGTCAGAACTACGAAAGAAATTGTGTTGCTATGGTGACCGTACGTGCCTGATATCGTTTTACCTGCCGCATGCACATAAGAAAAATTCTACATCCGGTCACTGTTTACTATAGGCACTAAACTGTAGCTGTGTTCAAAAAGTTTGTCTGATGCAGAATTTTTTAACCTGAGCGGTTGAATTCTCCATTCACATCTACTATTAGAAAGTTAATGGCTGGTTAAACCACCCTAGGGAAACTTCTTGTACCCAAGATCCTGGGTTAAGAAATGTCACAAGATCTTGGAAAAAACACCAAAAATTCAAGATCTTGAGTGGGATAAGCCAAGATATTTTCAAGATCTTGGAAAAGTTCATAGGAACAAAACAAGTGAATAAACAGGAACTACGTAGCACATTGTGTTGTCTAGTTTGAAATGATAAGTGCAACAGATATTGTTGTCTCGTTTGTAACCTGCTGTAAGGATATTCTCCATCTTTAGTTATCTTTTATTATTTTATATGCAGAGAAAATCACAGAAAGATGACTTTTTTTACGAATAACCACCAGAACACAAACAAAAATCGGAAGGACCCATTTGAGATAAATACGGCGTACCACTAAACCGACCATGGGCTAAGATTCCGCAAAAATTTTTCTGGCAACCCCCTTGGAAAAAAGGTGCCAAATTTTGATATGAATGTAACAGCAGTTATAAAATGAAAATTATTGTTATTACATTCTTAGGTTTTTCTTCCACTCGCTATAATGAATATAATATATTATTAGCAACTTTATCATTGATTGTAGTGGTATCCTGTGTGGATACACAAAATACAGGTGAGTATGTTATTCTGTTTGTGGTAGAATTTAAAGACTTTGTAGTATTAGTCACACTGGCCGCTTCCTAGCTATTTCAAGGAAGTTGCGCTTTCAACTACTGTGTTTGATGAGTCATAGTGTGCTCTACAAAACTACGGAAGTGGAATATCCCTAGCTGCTGTGGATCGCATAAGTTTCGTTGGAGCAATCAAGATCAGCAATTTTTATGTGTGATTACTTTAAAGGGACCTGCATTGATAAGTTTCCGTCTACGTCAAGTCTGATGCATGTTTTTTAACCTAGTGATAACTTATACATGATGGAATGATTTATTTTTACTGTTTTCCACGAAGGTTAAAAGATTAACCAAACTACTGTCGTTGATTTTTCTCCTGAAGATGGTTCTCCAGTCAACGTTAGAAAAGATGTCCCTTTCTTCTGTTTTTATGGATTTTTGGAACTTAATTTTTTAGATAAGCACTGAGCCGATCGAGCTGCAAGTTTTAGGCTATATACTAGACGCGAGAAGGAACATATTATGTCGTTGCATCAACCCTTGAAAGTGCTCCGATTATCTAGAACCGCTTGTCTTACGATCATGCAAAAATGCAGTAATAAGGTCATTTTGAAATGAAGTTTTCTCTATGAAAGCACGAATATTGCTCCACCATCTGCATCGAAACAGATGGGATTTAAGAAATGCTTGAGAAAATATTGTTTCTCGTGTAGTTTAAGTAAAGACAATTGTACAAGTCTGCTTACCACGTTAGGAGTAAAAATAAAGCTAAATCAAACACTGAATTGTGACAAACGTAATGTTTGTTATTATATTCATTGTTAATGCTGTGACGAAGAGTATATTGGAGAAACAGAAACATCAGCTCGAGAACGTTTTCCTGGACACACATCCCAAATCAGACTTCAACGAATCTCAAACGAGGGGTTACACTTTAGCCAGAAGAATCATTCCATTCGGGATATCATGACTATAGTGCTTGAAACAAATTTTCTTAATAATAATTATCGTAAAGGTCGGGAATCATACTGAATAAAGGAAGTTAATATCACTCTGAATATTAAAATTTAATATAACTTAATTATGTATATTTTTACATATTTGACAATAATATACTTTTATCAAGAACAATAACTATGTATGAACCAACGACTTATGAGCAAAAAATGATCTCTACCTGCTGTTAGAAAAATACTTACTGCGCATGATCTCACTGGAATGACATCAAATGAAAACAAAGGTAAAGAACTACTAGAATTATTGGCGAATAATGAAAATTTTCAAAACAATGACAACAACAGTGTATCGACGTCTAAACACTCGGATGTGATCACTAACTAATGCGAGAGATCTACAGACGTATCAACAGATGAAGCCAAATCAGGTGAAGCGTTTTGTTAATCAGTTATCACCCATTATTCATTTTGTTGAGTTCTCGCATCGTTCACCGCTAATCAGAATGACAACATAATCATCTATGAATCAGTTAGTTACAAAATATACTCTGATTAATATTTCTGATTTTGTTTTCATTCAATTTAACAGCGTTGCTCAATTATAATGTTCAGGAATCCTAGTAAATTTATTTAAAAATATTATTATACACACATATGAACTGTACAACATTAGTAAAGACAGAATCTAAAATATTTCGCATATCATTATATTTAATGGGTCACATATCTAGACCGGAGTTTCTCCTTCTGATCGACTTGAGTTCTTACTCTAAATATAAAAAAAAACATTTGATATAATTGCTTGGATGGATTGTTTCATTCGCTGAAGCATCATTTTTTTGTTTTATTTTATGTCGTAAAAGTTAAAACGCGCGGCAAACTAGTGGATAAACAACGCACTGCTAAACAGAAGAATAAGATGTACTGTTTTATTATATCAGAGAAAAAAAACTGGAGTGTGTATCAAAAATGATAAAGCACAAAGTACGATGATTGCAGAAAGTTGATCTTATCTCGGGTTCTTTTTCCAAACATAATTAACGCTAGATTCAAAAACATTCCAGTGTTTTTTTTCTGCCCTTGGAGAAGAATGCATGTAGTTAAGCTATTTTGCGTTTCAAGTCACCATTCAACGTATTTGCACTCCACTAAAGGATGTTCCGGACGTTCTGAAACGATTTTGAAATTCATCGTTCTCGCGTTTAACAAAAACAAACTCTTTGAAACTTTCACAGATTGTTGTACATATGTAGTACTATATAACTACAAAGTTTGAGGTCTATAGCTTTTACTATGGTCGAGAAACTATAACAACACTGTCATGTACTATTTTAAAAAATTGCCAGCAGTTAAAATTTGATATAAGAACGGGAGAAGTGTTATTATTTCGACCGTTTCTTTAATTAACATGTATTAGAACAAAACATTTTTCTTTTACCAACGTATTTCTGTATCTGCACGTGTCGATGAGATATATATATAGTTCAATATTAGTCCGTTACGACTGAATCAACACAAAATGCCACATGAACAGGCAGCTGAAAGTAAAAAAACAATTTCGTTCTTTCGTGTTACATTTAAAAAAATTACATCCATCATGGAAACCGAAAGATATCATAAAATTTCTTCTACACTCCGAAAATCCACCTTCCTATACAATAACAAATGCTTTGAGGCTCAAAGTTTGGATAATATTGAAGAGAAATCAAGTAAATGATTTATCAAGATTAGGTACACCTCGTACAACAGCAACAATTGAATATATTCAAGCTGTAAAAGAAGCTATTCGATTAAAAAGAAATGCACCCATCAGAAATGTTAATGCAAAACTTCAAAAAGGAGAATATAAAACATCAAATACTTTAATTGCGAGAATAAACAAATTATTAGGATTGAAGTGATGGAAATGACAAACAGTTCAAAAATTAACAGCCAAGCAAAAACTTCATCGTGTTATTATTGCAAAATGTTTAAGACAAAAATATGGTTATAAGAAAGGAAATAAAGTTTGTAAATGGATTTATATTTTGAATACTGATTTTAGTGGTACATTTACATTATATCCTCAATACAATCAACATAATGAAGGCATGTATGCTGAATCAATACTTGATATTCCATATGAATTAAAAACGAAATCAAAAGAAAAATTTCAAAAAAGTATTATGTTGTGGGGTGATATTTCTTATCAAGGATTATTCCCTAAACAATCTCCGATCTTCATTGATAAATGGTTAGACTTGATAAGACCACAAAGTGATGATAATCGTTAGAAAATGTATTTTACTGGTGAACGATGTGCAAAATTTATTCAAACTAGAAAAAGCAGGTAAAGAATTAGGTGATTTACAAAGTGTTATTTTTCAGGACGATCAAGATCGTAAACAAAGGACACGGGCGGCTTTGGATGCTGTTAAACATGTTTTTATCAAATAGAAATTACGAGGACGTGAATATAACGATATCGAACAATTGAAAAACGCCATAAAAAAGGAATGGAAGAAATTTAGGGTTTCTGCATGTCAACGAATGGTAGATAAAATACCAGCACGATTAAAATTACTTATCGATCAAGGTGGTAATCAAATACAGAAACAACGACAATTTTTTATGTCTTTAAAAATTGTATTGTTTTTAAAATAATGATCGAGATGATGACGAAAATTTCGAAAGTAGTACATGACAGTGTTGTTATAGTTTCTCGACCATAGTAAAAGCTATAGACCTCAAACTTTGTAGTTATATAGTACTACATATGTACAACAATCTGTGAAAGTTTCAAAGAGTTTGTTTTTGTTAAACGCGAGAACGATGAATTTCAAAATTGTTTCAGAACTTACGGAACACACCCTTTAGCTCTGTGGTGCCAATGAACATTTAGGGCTTTTCTTGTAAACTCTATAACTTTGCAAAGAAAGGTCGTGTACAGTTGGGAGAGGTCTCATTTTAATCAGAAATTTCCGGGCTACAATTGTACCTCATTAAGAGAGCTTTTAGTTATTCTCTAGAGTTTCTGGAAAACTGGTTTTCTAGAAAACTCAGTCTATCAAGGCCTAGCAGCCAAAATCATTGTCATATTCGGATTCAGCACACCCGATTACCTATTGTCCAGTGAGTCTTGGCCTAAAAGCGATTAGACAGTTGGTGTCCTTTCCTCGTAAGTTTATTTAAAGATCATGTGACAAGAGTCGTTCTTCAGAGTAAATTAGAGAAACGCATTCATTTCAATATTTTTTATAAAACTAACTCGCCAATACGTATTAGTAATAAACCCACTAACAAGAGACTGTACGCTCTTTTTGACGAGACACGTTTAACCGCTATATTTTGTTTTTAGCAGACAAATTTTAAAAACAAGTCTAAACATGTTTAACAACTTTAGATCAGGTTTGTGTGTATGCACGCTATTGAGAAAGTGTAAAGTAAAACACACTCAAACGCGTATAATGCAAATACTGCTAAATAAATTACTTTTAAAGATCTGAACGTATTTTGAACGATGAGATCTCGATAAGAAGTCGACCTTTTTTGTCCTGTTCTACTTATGATCGTATGACGTGCTAGTATCCACTTAGGGAATTTCTCAGCGAGGATTGTGGTTATGAATGCTAATATAAATCGATCACTTCTATCATTTGGCTTTTCTAGAACTTAAAAGAATAATGATTCAAACAGGCAATAGAGCAATAATATGAGGTTTAAGTTTTCGCACGTAAGATGGAAAAATGATGGACAGAAGCGAATTGAATCCATAAACATGTTCCAAGTACTTTGATTAATTTCGTTAAGCAGTTTTTGATTATGCGTATTTCGCTCCGATTCCATAAACGCATTTCTGAGAAATGCGTTTGTGGCACAGAGTTTGTGCTTATATGTATCATGTTTCCGTGAATCGCCAGCATTTGAAAGCATGGAACGGAAAAAAATACCGATGTACAATCATTAACGCAGAAGAAACGTGTTTATACACATTTTATTTAGGAATATCGAAGCAGCTTTTATCTGAATATCTTACTTATTTTTCTACTTGTTCCTAAGTTTGTGTTGTTTAAGCGCTCTATTGAACACATATTCATGTGACTCACTTTTGGAGGTTGAGACGGTCTTTTTGACGATCGATTTCTAATCCAACGAAAGAAGCCATTTGTTTTATTACTATAATATTTCATTCTTTTTCGATTTTGAGGTAAAAGTGGGCCCCAGTTAGGCTCCGGAGTGACCAATGTGCTGAATGGCTAGAAGTAGCAGGCTTCGTAAACACTATATTTATGAATGATATAAATTTGTGTAACGTACCTTTCGATATATTACCAGTACATAAAATATCGAGGAGAGAGCCCACAACACAACGCCCGATATAATTAATCCCGACAAGCCCCATCCAAGATTATTTGCCCATTGTGGAAACATATACGAACCCAGTTGAAGGCGTGGATAATAAACAAACGTGAAAACAATTAACGCCTAGGAAAGACAACAATCATTTTCAAATAATCAGTACACAGTAACGGGTGTCCTACAATAAATGGGTCTCTCAGTATTTCGCCAGTATCTCTGTAAGTTTTCATTGCCCAGACTTAAACTTTATCTAAAAAAAGATTCTGTTTAATTCTTTAGAAGAATCTGTGTTTTGTTTCACATTCGAATGCGTCTTGTCTTTTCCAAATAATGAAAAATAAATATTTCCGAAAAAGTTGTTCTTTCTAACTATAAAAACGGTGAAGACCCAACCGAAATCTTTCGTGATGTGAACTATGTCTTGGCCTTCAATACAATCAAATGATTGTGCAAAACGATCCACGAGCCCGGCACTATCCATCTGTCAAGTCCGCTCGATCGTCTGGATCTTGTCTGAACCGAGGAAACGATTTGGAAAGTCAAGAGTCGATTGAAACGTAAGAGGTGGATGTCAGGCAGAAAGTTGGCAAGCGAAGTGGATATTTCTTGAACATGTACTCATTGAATATCCAGAAATGATATAGAACTTCTGGCATACAAGAAGATGATCGAGCCACTGCTGATCGATGTACTAAGGACAAACGCAAGAACTTTGCAAATTGAATATGAAACAATTTTTGAAAAGAAGAGCGATGCGGATTTTGTTTTCTGATGAGAAAATATTCAGCATTGATGGTGTGTACAATGTTCACGAGGAACCCTATCCAAGTGCTACCTTCCGAATTCGTTCATTCATACGGAAATTGATAGAGGATAACGAGCTAGTAAAAAGCCTAAAAGGATTTTCCCCCATGACTCTTGAAGATCCAATTTTCGAGAAAACCAGTTTTTCAGAAACTTTAAAATAATAAGAGTCAAAGCTACAGAAGTAAGAAGAAATAAATTGGACAAATAGTTTGTCAAAAATTGGGACCGAATAACACCAAAACGAACTCTGGTTAACAGTAGAAGCATGTAGTTAAGAAAATTAAACAAAAAGTCGTAATATCTTCTTAGACTGTCTGTTTACAGCTCGTATTGAAAAATAATGGATGTTATTTACGTTAATAAAAATACACTGCAGCTTAGAGTATTAAATGTGGTATCTTTTTGAAAAATGGTCCAGTCTGAGCAATGAAAACTGGAAGAGATATTGACGAAATACGGAGACTGTTTATTTCGGGACACCCGTTATTTGACAGTAATAGTAGTACTACGAACAATGAGTAATGCAGGTGTTATAAATAGCCAACAAAACTGGAATATTCTGAATGTTTTAACACCAAGATGATTTGATCCAAGCATTAATTTAATGTCTGATCGAAAATTGTTACCACCTATTCGGTACATATAAGTAGTGACATGTTAAGAAATACTTGAAAACTTAAAACAAACTCACCATAGACATAGGCAATACAAACGCATTCAAGTAATGCGATTACCAACGCAGTCCAAGCACCTGTAAATCTATCCAGTAGTTCTACCCAATATATTCCGGCCTACAGCATAAGAAAGAAGTCTTAAGAAGATATGCTAATTCACTTTGGTGAAATACTTACATCCGTACATAGAACTAATCCCAATAAAAATAGTACTATACACGTAATTAACGTCAAAATAGTTTTATACTGTCTTAATGAACTAAATTGATCGGTTAAAACTGTTGTAATTGTCTCAAGTGATCCAAACTAAAAAAATTATTTATATGAGAGAGATATAATAAAATCTTTGACGAATCCTACCACAGAATCAAGACCTAATGTTATTAGCATAAGAAAAAATAATATTGACCATAATGGCGCAGCTGGTAAAGTTGTAACGGCGAATGGATAAACGACAAACGCTAATCCTGGCCCTATAATGAACGAGTCTCGTAATTTTATTCAATTTGATTGTTTTGTATACCTTCAGACACAACATTATCAACTTCTTGACCAGTCATATTAGCAAGGTATCCCAAATAGGCAAATATGACAAATCCAGCAAATATTGATGTTGCAACGTTAGCTATAGTAATCACTAAAGTATTACTAAAAAGAGCAAATATTACATATGCGCCCAAAATTATGCGTATAACGTGTAGTTTTGCAGTTAATGAATCTTAATTTTTTAAGGTCCCACATACTGGCGCCACCATATCTCGAAAGCGACTTTCACCTTAACACCATTTCGTCGCTTCAAGATTTCTTGGTAACGAAACATCGCAGAGACCTTGGGAAGGTCTTAAATTGAAGTTGACACATATGGCTAGAGGCTGATAGAGCCCGATTTTTGATATTCGATCTAGATTTGTGATTAGAAAAACATCTTTGTCAAAGTTAATGAGACTTTTCCGAATTTTGGACTTTTGACGCTGACCATTAACTTGGAAAAAAAATCAAAATTCTGGCTCTGTTAGCCTCTAGCCACATGCATTTTCCTCAATTTAAGACCATCCCGAGCTCTCCACAAGGTGGCAATATACGACTCAAGGAAGCAAAATATCGGCAAAGGCTTTTCATTAAACTATTCATCGGCGTTAGAAATAATCCGTTTGAAATTACATGTAGTATTAGTTTTGTGGAAAATCGGTCTGCTTTTAGTGCGCCAAAGTCATCCCCACGGAGAGAATGTTTGCTTTTTCAATGAGCTCAAGCGCATTCTAAACAATATGGAAAAAGCTAATATTTTATTTCTGAAATAAGTATATTCTACTCAGATTACTCTTTCCAATGGTAGTTCAAAAAGTTTTTAGACTTTCCGATGCTTAAGATATTTTCATTTCCCGAAAAATTGGATACTCGACCGTTCGAATTTTTGAATTCGGAAGCAAGCTGTCGATTGCTATTATACGCAT